CAGCTTGGTGTCATCTGCAAGAGGGGTTAAATGTTTCATATGTTACTTCTCTCCACACCCTAACTCAGTCAGACTAGTCACTAGGACATGTTAAAACCCTAATGAATTATTTTATGGTCCTGTTTCTGTGGGGTGGTAAAATGCATGTCAGGATCTGCACACATATAGTGCCAAGATACAGCTGAAGTCCCACAGACTTGCATGGGTTTGCAGACTTTATTTAAAAACTTTCTAGACAGCATGGACCATAAATGCTGGGTTTCTTGGGGGTTTTTTCTGAAATTTCCATCTCCTCTGCAGATGTGTGTACTGGATGCACAGAGGAAAGACCCAAATCCTGTCTGCTGCAGCATACCCTGCAATAAGCCATGCCAGCAAAACCAGAAAAACACCATACCCTGGATGTGGCAAAAGCTAGCATTCTTGATGCCATGTTATGTAGATAGCAAAGCCCACCCATTGGGATGGCACTGTGGCTTTCTGGTCCCTGGGCTCCTGTTTCAGAGAACATTTGAAGGAGCCTTCTTTTTTCCCAGTCAACATAATATGATACATGCACTTGCCTCTCAGGTTATGGACAAATAGGGTTAAAGTTAGTGCAGCTTGGCTACACTGGTATAGAAACATGCAGGCAACTACATCTTAAATAGCTTGCGTTGGTATCATTTGGTCTCAATGGAATTGTTACGTCTGGCTATACCTTCTGCCAGAACCTCTTGCGGGGGGAGGGGGTAAGAAGTGGTGACAGAGAAGCAACAAAACTAGTAAAGAGACTCTCATTGAATACATACCCAAGTGGCTTTTAGGCCCAGTGAAAATAAACACTGTTATCTGTCACCTTATGATCCTTCTGGTGGGTGGGTCTTCCAGGATCATGGATGCCTGTAAGAGGTTAAATAGTCTTTACTCATTATCCTCAAGGATTGCAACCATTTAGTTCCTCTTCCATCTTTACTGGCCTTAGAAGTCCCATTTCCCCCATTATCCTGAAAGAAAAGTTGTACTGTCCCAATAAGCATACAGGATACTTCTTCTATTGTGCCTGGGCCACTGATCTATTGCTGAACACCACCCCTCCTGCACCTAGCCACTGTTCCCTATTTAATTAAATCAGTTACCACAGTGTAGGAAGATCCCTATTAAGCAATATGGCTTATTAGAGGCAAGAAGAAGAGAGTAAAGGAAGACAGCCCCTTGCCCTGCACTGAAAGCTACAGTCTAGTGATGCAATTGCACGAGCAGCCACTGGACAAGAGGAGGCAGGACCAGGGTGCAGAGAGGACACGCAGGTCCTGAGGCAGCAGTAAATGCAGCTATGGACAACACTGGAGTAGGGAGCACTAGGACATGGGTGCCATATTCCCATGCACTCCCCCTCTCTCTGACTCACCAGTATCCCCCTTGCACACATATCCACTCCACACCCATGCACAATAGCTCCCACTGGAAAAAAAAACAGTTTAGATTTCATATGCTGCCAGTTGTGACATCAGATGTGTCACCCTTTACATGCACACTTTTGTTGGGTTGTTAAAGTACAAGCAGTGCAGCAACAAATGCTTACAACAGGGACAAGGAAAATGCAGAGCAATTGCTAGAGCACAACTCATGAAGGCTATCCAGCACTAACAGAAAACATTGCACCAACCAGGAACATTGGTTGTGACCAGCTCCTATCCAAAATGGGACCCTGGCACAAACATCAAAACTTCGTTACCATATCTGAGGTATTCCTCAGAGCCAGACAAGTTCTGCTCATGCCCCAAAAGAAACCCCAATCTCACTGACCGGGTAGGGGATGGCTGTGTCCCAGACCTGGAACTGACCTATGCCAGAAACCAACATTCAGCTGAGTACTGGGATCCATCATGAGCCAGCCCCAACCTGCCATATGTTCAATTTAAGTCATGATACAAAAGAGCTACAAAGATATTCCATATATATTACTACACCATAAACTGGCTTTAATGCAGGGGTGGGCAATTATTTGGGCTGGAGGGCCACTTAA